TTTTTGAGTTGGAGTCTCACTCTGTCATCCAGACTGCAGTGCAGTGGCACACTCCTGGCCACCGCAGCCTCGATCTGCTGGGCTCCAGCTATCCTTCTGCCTTAGCCTTCCAAGTAGCTGGAACTACAGGCACGCGCTACCACACCCGGCTAATTTTTTGATTTATTAGTAGAGATGAGGTCTTGCCAAGTTTCTCAGGCGGGTCTCGAACCCACAGGTTCAGGCAATCCACTCACTTCAGCCTCCCAAAGTGTGGGATTACAGGCTGAGCCACCGAGCATATTTAACTGGGCTAAGAGATGTCCAGATAACTGGTAAAACATTATTTCTGGGTGTGTTTGTGAGGATTTTTCCATAAGAGATTAGCATTTGAATTGGTATTCCAAGTAAAGAAGATTACCCTCACAGATGTGTTGAGGGCCCAAGTAGAACAAAAAGACAAAGGAAGGGCAAATTCACTCACCTTGAGTTGGGACAGCCATCTTCTGCCCTTGGACATCAGAGCTCCTGGTTCTCAAGCCTTTAAACTTGGACTAAATTATGCCACCATCTTTCCTGGTTCTCTAGTTTGTAGATGGCAGATTGTGGAACTTTTTGGCCTTTATAATCTCATGAGCCAATTCCCATAATAAACCAATCTATCATTCTCTCTCTCCATATATATGTGTGTATATATAAATCCTATTAAATCTGTTTCTCTAGAGACTCCTGATTAATATATGCTATTATGCTGAAGTTGAATTATTTGATTATTAACACCATTTCCTGAAAAAATGAGTTGTCGCATTCACTTAAAAGGTTTACGTACCTGTCACATTTGTCTTTTGCTTTTTTCTTTTTCTCCTCAAACTGTTCCAAGAGGCCTTTTGATTTTCCAACTGACAAAGGAAGAGAAAATAAGCCTCTATCTTTTTTATCTCCTCCAAACAGCTGGGGTTTTGTCTGGTACTTTGTGAAAATACTAGGTTCACTCTGTTAAATGAAAAAATATATAGCATTTCACACAAAACAATATTTATAGCATTTACTATTTTCTGTACAATGCAGTCACATTTAAGTGTAAACCATATTGCTATAACACAACATAGCATGTAGTACTTCCATTTTACTTTTGTATTTATCAGAAAATTGTATTTAAAATAAAGTTACTTTTTATTAATATAGTTTCGGCCATACCAGCCCAGAGATATTTTAAATGCCAGCTAAAATGACTTAGAATCAATTATATAAATTTATCTTTAAGATTTTTAAATTTTTTTTGAGTTGGAATCTCACTCTGTAGCCCAGGCTAGAGTGCAGTGGCATGCTCTCGGTCACTGCAGCCTCAACCTCCTGGGCTCAGGTTATCCTTCTGCCTTAGCCTTCCAAGTAGCTGGAACTATAGGCACCATGCCTGGCTAATTTTTTGATTTATTGTAGAGATGAGGTCTCGCCAAATTGCCCAGGCTGGTCTCGAACCCATGGATACAGGCAATCCTCTCACCGTGACCTCCCAAAGTGCTGGGATTACAGGTTTGAGTCACCGGGCCCAGCAATTACATAAATTTAAAGCCAACAGCAGAGAATTATTTATGCTATCTCTGAGATATGTATTAAAATTTTCATATTAATAAGTTTAATTCAAATAGCTGTTGCTCAGCTGCTGGTGAACTAAAGACATGTTGGTAAATTTGACATGGACTAGACAGTGGGGATGCTAGTATATGGTGAGCCATTTTCTGCAATTTTAGGCAAAGCTTACTCTGAAACATTTAGGGAGTTCATTTATTCCTTCATATCACTAGATACCAATTTTTTTTTTAAAGTGAGAAAGCAGGATTTATTGAGAGGACAGAGAAGCTCCCCCAGTGGGAAAGGACCCGAAGGAGTTGCCCGAAACTATTTTTATACTGAAATACTTAGCGTATACTCTACAAGATTAAAGCACTGACCTAATCTTATTAAGTTTCTATTTGATTCAGGTAAGTCTGTGTATAAAATTAAATCTAGTTCTAGACATCCCAAAAATAAAAATATTTCTGACTCACACGAAAAGACAAATTTTTTTATCTAAAAAAAATCAAGGATTCTAAAGGCTGTGTTCCTCATTCTGGCCCTTATTAATTAACTTATGCCTCAGAATCCTCACTTCCTCCTTCATCAAAGACATAATATAGTATAGTTGATTAAAGTCTACACAGTACATAAAATGTCCTAGAAAAAAATGTCCATCTAAAATAAAATTTAGCTGTAATCCCACGCCTTTGGGAGGCTAAGGTGAGTGGATTGCCTGAGCTCGCAGGTTCGAGACCTGCCTGGGCAACTTGGTGAGACCTCATCTCTACAATAAATCAAAAGTTAGCCGGACGTGGTAGCACGCGCCTATAGTTCCAGCTACTCGGAAGGCTGAGGCGGAAGGATCGCCGGAGACCAGCAGGTCGAAGCTGTGGTGGCCGGGAACGGCCACTGCACTCCAGTCTAGGCGACAGAATGACTCCAACTCAAAAAATAAAATAAAATAAAATAAAATTTAGGGCAGACATGGTAGCTCATGCCTATAATCCTTTTGGAGGCTGAGGTGGGAGAATCAAGTAAGGCCAAGAGCTCAAGACCAGCCTGGCCAACATAGCAAGACCCAGCTTTTATTTAAAAAATCATAAAATTTATGTTACTTTATTTCTAATTCACAAATGTTATTTTTTCTCATTAAATTCTCACAAATAATAGTAAGACTAGTCTTAAGAAATGTCATGCAATGTGTGTTCTCCCTAGGAGTCGTCAAAGCACTGACACTATGTTTTTTTTTTTTTGAGTTGGAGTCTCACTCTGTCTCTCAGACTGGAGTGCAGTGGCATGCTCCTGGCCATTGCAGCCTCGACCTGCTGGGCTCCGGCAATCCTTCTGCCTCAGCCTTCCAAGTAGCTGGAACTACAGGTGCACACTACTACGCCCAGCTAGTTTTTGATTTATTGTAGAGATGAGGTCTTGCCAAGTTGCCCGGGCGGGTCTCAAATCCTCGGGCTTAGACAATCCTCTCGCCTCAGCCTCCCAAAGTGCTGGGATTATAGGCTGGGCCACCGAGCCCGGCCACACTGACACTATTCTTATGTTGCTTTGGTAATAGAAAAAACTGCAAATATAAATATTTTTTCCATTTCAGACTACCAAGTCAAATGAGTCACCAAGCAAGCACAAATACCTGTAGAAGAATAATTCTTGAAATGAACAATTTCAAAATATATTCCACTAGAAAAAAATATTCTTTATAGTTTATCTCCATAATGACTGAGAAATGTATGTGGAGAAATTCTGTGAATTAGACTCACCTCCAGAGAATTCTGTTGTGACTGTTTTGGATGTCTCAAGTGGCCACCAAAGTCCAAGGGTACTGACAAGATTTCTGAATTTTCTGAACAGAACTGAGATCCAAAGAGGAACTGGGAATCACTGAGACTGGAATAATCAGTTTGATGATTATTCCAGTTAGATGATTTAGTGTTCCTGAAATTAAGCAAGAAAAGTATACCAAGTGGACAAATACCCTGAACAAATGAAATAATAGTTCCACAACTGTTCACCTTAGAATATTCTGGGCCAGGCTTGGTGGCTCAGCCTGTAATCCCAGCACTTTGGAAGGCTGAGGCAAGTGGATTGCCTGAGGCCCCATGTTTGAGACCAGGCCGGGCAACTTGGTGAGATCTCATCCCTACAATAAATCAAAAAAATTAGCCAGTCATGGTACCATGCACTTGTAGTTCTGGCTACTTGGAATCCTGAGGCAGAAGGATTGCCAGAGCTCAGCATATCGACGCTGGGATGACTGTGAGTGTGCCACTGTATTCCAGCCTGGGCAACAGAGTGAGACTCCAACTCAAAAAAAAAAAAAAGAATATTTTGGATAGAATGCTAGCTTGTTCTGATCTCCAAGTCTCCTGTACACTGCTAGCAGTACCTACAAAGAAACACAAGGAAATTATTGAATAGCACACATTTTGATTACAACAGCCTGGGAACAACCAGATGTACATTCAACCAGACAGGACTGACACCATTATTCCTTGTATAACCACATTCTGGGATATAAAACTATTTTGGAGATCAAAGTTTATAAAAATGGAGGCATCAAGAAAATATTATCTTTTTAAAAGATGAATCTGTTCATCATTAAAAGAATAGATAAATAAAATAAGGTATATGCATTAACTGATTTGACAGCCAGAAGCAATAAACTAGATTTATATCTAATCACATGGATAAATCTCAAAAACATGAATACCAAAAAAGTAAAAATCATATGAACTCTATTACAGATCATTTACATAAAATTTTAAACCTATATCAAACAAGTATATAACTGAGTGTATAGAAGCTGATTAGAAGGGCACACATGAACTTTCTAGAGTGTGTGCCTACAGGGAAGGAAGAGAGTAGAACTGGAGGGAGAGAAGGAGCCATTATAAAACAAACACATACAGACCTTGTTATGGACTGAATACTTGTGTCACCCACCAAATTCATATGAAGCCCTAACCCTGGTATGATGGTATTTGGAGATGGACCCCTGAGGAGGTATTTAGGGTTAGATAAGGTTGTGAGGGTGGGGCCTCATGATAGTATTAGTGTAATTTAAAAAGGGACACCAAAGAGGTAGTACATGTTCTTGAGTGCCACTCCTCAGCCAGCCACACATCCTCATCATGTAGACGCAAGAAAGGGGCCATCTGCAAGCCAAGAGGAAAGAGCTCACCAGAAGCCAACCATGCTAGCACCCGAATCATGGGCTTCCAGCCTCCATCTAGTCTCTGGCATGTTGTTATGGCAGTCTGAACAGACCAATGCAGGCCTCATACAGACTAAAGAATAAGATTAACGCAGATCTGTGCCTAGGAGGATCCATCAAAAAACATTTTTGAAATAAGATGGAAGCCGGGCACGGTGGCTGACGCTTATAATTCCAGCATTTGGGGAGGCCGAGGTGAGAGGATTGCCTGAGTCCACAGGCTTGAGACCTGCCTGGGCAACTTGACAAGACCTCATCTCTACAATAAATCAAAAAATTAGCCAGGCATGGTGGCATGTGCCTCTAGTTCCAGCTACTTGGAAGGCTGAGGCAGAAGGATCACCTGAGTCCAGCAGGTAGAAGCTGTGGTGGCCATGAGCATACCACAGCACTCCATTCTGGGTGATAGAGTAAGAGACTCCAACTAAAAAAAAAAAAACAAAAAGAAAGAAAGAAAGAAGATGGTATTCCTGGCCAGGCGCAGTGGCTCAAGTCTATAATCCCAGCACTTTGGGAGGCTGAGGAGAGAGGATTGCTTGAGCCCAGGGGTTCGAGACTAGCCTGGGCAACATGGTGAGACCTCGTCTCTACAATAAATTAAAAAATTAGCTGGGCATGGTAGTGTGCATCTGTAGTTCTGGCTACTTGAAAGGCTGAAGCAGAAGGAGCACCTGAGCCCAGTGAGTTAAGGCTGAGGTAGCCGTTAGTGTGCCACTGCACTCCAGCCTGGGCAACAGAGTGAGATTCCAACCCCAAAACAAAAAAAGACGGTATTCCCTTTCACCTTTTTTTCTTTCCTTTTTGAGTGGGAGTCTTACTCTGATAGGAGTCTCACTAGTGATATTAATAATGATCCTTCTGCCTCAGACTTCCAAGTAATTAGAACTACAGGCACGTGCCACCATGCCCAACTAATTTTTTTGATTTATTGTAGAGATGAGGTGTCACCATGTTGCCTAGGCTGGTTTCAAACCCCCAGGCTCAGGCAATTCTCTCACCTCGGCCTCCCAAAGTGCTAGGATTACAGGCGTGAGCCACCGCGCCTGGACACTTCTTGCAATTACAATGGTAACTGCCCAAACTGAGGTGAGTGTACAGATGTTGGATCATGTCTGACTCTCATAGCCCAGTGCTGAATACAGAGTCATTACTAAGTTAACACACAAAGCTGGATTGACATCACTTTTATAATAAGAAAATGGGCAGAAGAAAAAAAGATAAGCACAAGATGCAAGCAGTGACAGAAGAGGGGAAGAGAAGGAAAAGAGGCCATATGGGGTACCTCTATTATTGCAATCTAATGGGAAAGAACCCACTTTCTATGAAATCAGTGAAAACATAAGATCTTTTCAAGTATTAGAAAATATAACCAGAAAACTTACTCAGAGCCTGAGGGAATACAGAGCATCTCTTTGAGATTCCAGACATTAAAACTCATTTCTTACGATTATCCCTATTAGGAAGAATAGAGGAATATTAATTAAGATATAGTATAATTTTTTTCAAAATTATTTTACTAGAGACTATTATATGTACGTGAGGACATTTCAGCAGTTACAGTCCCATCCAAGTGGTGAAAATTTCCATTACCTAGATGCCAGAAACAAGTATTTTCAGCTGTTAAACTGCATCCAAGTTCCCATCAAATTTTTTTTTTTTTTTTGGAGTTGCAGTTGGAGTCTCACTCTGTTGCCCAGACTGGAGTGCAGTGGCCGCTCCCGGTCAGCTGCAGCCTCGACCCAATGGGCTCCGGCGATCCTTCCGCCTCAGCCTTCCGAGTAGCCGGAATTACAGGAACGCGCTACCATGCCCGGCTGAATTTTATTTTATTTTTTTTTTATTGTAGAGATGAGGTCTCGCCAAGTTGCCCAGGTGGGTCTCGAACCCGCGATCTCAGGCAATCCACTCACCTCAGCCTCCCAAAGCACTGGGATTACAGGCTGAGCTACCGAGCCCAGCTTCCCATCAATTTTAATACCAGGGAAAGCTCATAGTCACTTGTGAAGCAGTAAATTTGTCTTACATTCTCTGTTCTTTTGCCCTTTTCTCTTGTCGTCTTATTAATAATCTGCTTTTAGGAAAGAACCAATAAACCCCATTTTCATTGCCTGTTACAATAAATGACTTAATCTATTATCTCTCCTGAGAAGACTAGTTCTCCCCAAACCATGGGAAGTGGAATTCAGTCAGCTGTGGAATTTGGGCACGAAGCTAGATGAGGTAAGAGGGGTTGCTTTGGGCAAAAGTGCCTTCCCATACGTCTTATAAGCAGTTGTCTACTTTGCTCACTGACAACCCAACACACTGCATACTATATCATTATGGTGATTACATGGGCCAGATTTTAAAAACAAACCCAATGTCTAAATTTCGTCTCACTAATCTCAAAAGAACTTTCATATTTGTCAGATTATATATTACCATGGTGGCATCAGAAGATATGATTACCACACATATGGTGGAATACAGACCATCAATCATCAAGTACTGTCCTAACACAAACCTAGATAAAATAAAACTGAAGTTCTGGGAACCAACCTTGCTGCACAAGTGGACTGGATAAAGAAAATGTGGTACATATACAAAATGGAGTATTACACAGTCATAAGAACAACAAAATCATGGACTTTGCAGCAAATTGGATGGAGTAGGAGACCATCATACTAATTCAACTATCACAGAAACAAAGAACTGAATACTGCATGTTCTCACTCATAAATGTGCCCTGAACACTATTCACATTAGCACAAGGGAGGGATTGGCAGTCGCTGGGCACTGCTAGGGGAGGGAGGGAGGAGGGCGTAGATAACACAAAGAGTACCTGGTCCACTACCAGGGGAAGTGAGGGTCAGTTAGAAGCCCAAATTTCACCTGCCTACTGCCTACTTATGTAGTTAACCCTCACTTGTATCCCACATCTCCATAATAAAAAATATATAAAATAAAAATAGAAGTTCTGAATATAGATATTTTAATTTGCTTTTTATATAATTTAACCCTGTAAAGAAATCTATATATTGAAGTTTTCTGATTTTCTAAAAAAAAAAAGCATTTGAGTGTTTTGCAAAATATTAAGTATAGACCACAGGATTGAAGGAACTAAATGTATTACCATTCACTCAGCCCCTATTATGCTCCAGGCACAGTATTAGACTTTATATATGCCAATTTATTTAATCCTCACAATGATTTTCTGAAGCACGTGTTGTTATCCCCATTTATAAGTCTGTGACTGATGTGGTGTTATAATATATATTGGTTTTTGCCCTCAGTTTCTGGCTCATAACCCTCATAGTCCTTGTTACAGTTTTGTTACAATGTTGGGTGTGTTAGGCCTCAGGAGCAGGCCTTAGGAAACAATCTCTCCTGCCCTCCTTTCATCTGTCTCTAATCTTCCCTCATCTTTCTGATTATGGGTTTTAAGACCCTCCCCAGAGGGTTCCATCCTATACCTGGGGAAATGGAATGCCGATGTCATGAAGCTTCCATAAAAACCCAAAAGGACTGGGTTCAGAGAGTTCCAGATAGTTGACCATATAAAGTTTCCTGGAGGGTGACTCTCAAAGGGAGGGAATGGAAGATCCATGCCTCTTCCCCCATATCTCATTCTACACATTTGTTCACCTGTATCCTTTGCAATGTCCTTTATAATAAACAAGTAAACGTGTTTCCCTGAGTTCTGTGAGCTGCTCTGCAAATTAATTAAACCCAAAGAGGGAGTCATGGAAACCCCAACTTGAAGTTGGTTAGTCAGAAGTTCCGGAGGCCTGGACTTGTGATTGATGTCTGGGAGTGGGGGTACCAGATAGATAGTGGTGACTGAAGTGAAGGACACCCAGCTGGTGTCCACTGTTTGGTGTGTGGGGAAAAACCCCCACAGATTTAGTCACAGAAGTATCCTTCTGTGTTGATGACTGCAAGATCAGCATGGTTTGGAAGAGTTTTTCCTAAAGCATTAAGGTTCAGATAGATTAAATAATTAGTTCAAGTTCTCTCCAATAACTAAGGGTAAAAGGTACTAAGCCAGTTCAGTCCAGTAGCAAAGCTCACATTGTTTCAAGTATACTGTATTCTGTTTCTCAACATTGGTTGTATTTTAGACACTTTTAGATCTAAGCAGCCCTTTATAAGCAGCTAGTAATAAATTGAAAGAGTATGGTTGTAGGGGCAATCAGACAAAGATTCAGATGCTGTCATTTGTACTTATAAACTGTGTGAACTTGGGCAAATAAGTTGACTTATTTGAATCTCAGTTTCTTCATCAGTTAAATGAGAATAAGAGAATAACACCTATTTTAAAGGATGGGGTAAGAATTCAAGATCATTACTATCCAGTGCTTGGCATGGACATTGGCACTTAATAGCTACTTCTTAATTATTTGTTCAGAGATTATGAGCATTATCAAATGAATCCATAGTCTCCTGGAGCTTTCCACATTCACCCACTCTCAGTTCAAAGGACTGGCATTGGCTAGGCGCACTGGCTCAGTCTGTAATCCCAGCACCTTGGGAGGCTGAGACAAGAGGAATGCCTGAGCCTGGGGATTTGAGATCAGCCTGGGTAATATGGTGAGACCTTGTCTTTACAATAAATCACAAAAATTAGCCGGGCGTAGTGGCATGTGTCTGTAGTTCCAGCTACTTAGAAGGCTGAGGTGGAAGGATCGCCTAAGTCCAGCAGGTTGAGGCTGCGGTGGCCATGAGCATGCCACTGCACTCCAACCTGAGTGATAAGAGTGAGACTCCAACTCAAAAAAAAAAAGAAAAAAAAAAAAAGAAGGACTGGCATTCATAACAGGCTGTAGACTTTCACATTCACCCCAGCTAAAAATGAAGTTGCTGCAGTGTTGGGACCAAATATTATAGTTATTTTTTTGTCATAACTCTATTGAACAGTTTAATTTCTTCTTTGTAGACTATCTTCAAAGAAGTTCAGTGCAATAATACTTTTCCATAGAGCAAATATATTCCTAAAATACCTCATTGAGATGACAACTGAAAAAAATTCATTGTAAAAACTGGCTTGCCCAGATGGGTTCACAGGCAAATTTTACATTTAAGGAAATAATTATACCAATTCTCTACAATCTCTTCCAGAAGATAAAAGCAGGGAGAATACATTCTAACTCATTCTATGAGGCCAGTATTACTCCAAACCAGACAAAGACATTACAAGAAAATGATACACCAATATCTCTCATGAACATAGATTCAAAGTCCTCAACAAATTATGAGCAAATTGAATCCAGCAATGTATAAAAAGAATAACATAGTATAACCAAGTGGAATATATTCCAGGAATGAAAGGCTGGTTCAACATTACAAAAGCATTAGCCAGCATGGTAGCGCGTGCCTGTAGTTCCAGCTACTTTGGAAGGCTGAGGCAGAAGGACCACCTGAGCCCAGCAGGCCGAGCCTGCGGTGACCAAAAGCTTGCCACTGCACTCCAGCCTGTGCAACAGAGTGAGACTCTAACTTGAAAAAATTAGCAAACAAAAAAACTAAAAAAGCAATTAATGCAATCAATCACATCAATAGGCTAAAGAAAAATTACATAATCATACCAATAGATTCAAAAAAGGCATTTGATAAAAATCCAACACCCACTCATGATTAAAAAAAAAAAAAAACTCTCATGTGCTTATATTATAGTTCCATCTACTTGAGATGCTGAGATGGGAGGATCACTTGAGCCCAGGAGTTTGAATCTAACCTGGGCAGCAAAGTGAAACCCCCATCTCTTAAAAGAAAAAAAGAAAACTTCTCAGCAAATTAGTAATAGAAGTGAACTTCCTCAACTTGATTAAAAAAAAAAACAAACCTACAACAAACCTACAGCTAACATCATACTTAATGATGAAAAATTAGAAGCTTTTCCCCTAGGGTCAGGAATAAGGTAAGGATGTCCCCTCTCACCACTCCCATGAGTGTATTAAAAGGACATCCTAGTTATTGAATGAAGAAAAAAGTGCCTGTAGTCGTAGACACTTGGCAGGCTGAGGTGGAAGGATCCTTTGTGCACAGGATTTCAAAGTTACAGTGAGCTAGATAGTGCCACTGCACTCTGATCTCCATGACAGAGTAAGACCTTGTCTCTAAAAAATAAAAGCATTGGTGGCTCAAGCCTGTAATCCCAGCACTTTGGGAGATATGGAGGCGAAAGGATTGCTTGAGTCTGGGGGCTTGAGACCAGCTTGGGCAACCTGGTGAGACCTTGTCTCTACAATAAATTAAAAAATCAACCAGGAGAGGTGACACACACCTGCAGTTCCAGTTACTAGGAAGCCTGAGGCAGAAGGATCGCCTGAGCCCAGCAGGTTGAGGCTGCAGTGGCTGTGAGCGTGCCAGTGCACTCCAGCCTGGGCGACAGAGTGAGACTCTGACTAAAAAAAATAAAAAAAATTTAAGATGTTAATTGTGGCCAAGTCCCCACCTATAATCCTAGCACTTTGGGAGG